CCTGTCTTTATGGACTTCCAAAAATACATAAAGAAGGAACACCACTCAGACCCATCGTCAGAAGCATGAACTCAGTGACATACAATATTGCTAAACATCTGGCTGGTATTTTAGCTCCTCTTGTTGGAAACACACCTCATCACATAAAGAACTCTGTTGAATTTTGCTAACAAAGTTCAACATTTGAAACTAACCCCAGGAGAAACTCTTGTATCGTATGATGTGACTTCTCTTTTCACATGCATACCCATTTCTGAAGCAGTAGAAACCATCAGAAAACAACTTCTACAAGACAAGGACCTAATCAACAGGACCATCTTCACCCCAGACCAGATCTGCACCGTGTTGGATCTCTGCCTCTCCACCACTTATTTCAAGTTCAATGACAGATTTTACAGACAGAAGCACGGCTGTGCCATGGGATCTCTAGTGTCACCCATTGTTGCCAATCTCTACATGGAGGAAGTGGAACAGAGAGCCCTAAACTCCTATGAGGGAACAACGCCAAGCCATTGGTTCCGTTATGTGGATGACACCTGGGTCAAAATCCAAGCTAAGGAAAAAGAAGCGTTCACCAGACACATTAACTCGGTCGATAACAACATCAAGTTCACCAGAGAGGATGCAAACGACAACAAACTACCTTTTTTGGACTGTTTGGTTCAGATGGAGAGAGAGGACAGCCTCAACATTGAAGTTTACAGAAAACCAACCCACACAGACCAGTATCTTCTGTTTGACTCCCACCATCCACTGGAACACAAACTCTCTGTCATCAGAACTTTACAACATCGGGCCGAATGCGTCCCCACAAGGACAGAAGGGAAGGAAAAGGAACTGAAACACGTTCAAGAAGCTCTTCAAACATGTGGATATCCTAACTGGGCTTTTGTCAAGTCAGTGAGGAAATCTACAAAACACACCAATAAACAGAAAAAGGACAACAGCAAACGTAAAAACATTGTCATCCCTTATGTTGCTGGAGTATCAGAGAAATTCAGAAGGATCTTCAACAAACACAAGATCCCAGTACATTTCAAACCCAGCAGGACTCTCAGACAGAGGCTGGTCCACCCTAAAGACAAAACACCCATACACAAACAGAGTGGTGTAGTGTATGCGGTCCAGTGCAGCGAGGACTGTCCAGACCTCTACATTGGAGAAACTAAACAGCCTCTTCACAGACG